ATCTGATAATGCACCACTCCAACCTCTTTCATAATCTGGATACGTCTTACCAATGAGGGCCAAATGGAATGAATTCTAGGTTAATTACTTTCCTCTCTATGCCCACAATCCTTTTCCTCTCTAGTACTGAATGCACCGTATCGAAATATCGAGCAATGTAACCCGATAAAAATACTATAAACTTATTTGGTAAAATTTGACTAGCATTGAAGATAAGATAACATGATGGCGATCATAAGCAAATAGTAAATTAATATATAAATTAGATCTCGGAAAATAAGTAATCACTATAGTTATAGTAAGAAGTTTTCATCAGAAATCACTCTTATTCGAACAACTAACAGTTCAAAGAACCTCAAAGTTCCAGCTTCAAACACTAAGTTTATTTGCCGATAGATACTTTTCGTCTACATACAAATGATGATAGCTCGTAATTCCAATCACCTCTAAATTTACTAGAATTTTACTAGTAGGTTGAGTGTATTATAGTAGTTTATTAGGACTGATTATTTATAAACGTCTATAACCAAGTTTGATTTATGTCCTTAGACCTATACCTACTTAACTAATAAGTTACAATAGAAGTATTACGACAATAAAAGTTAAATGGTGATTATAATTCATTATCACTTGAAGAATAGATGACATGATCGTCTGTCAACCAAGTAACGAGTATACTGCACAGAGATTCGCTCAGCAGGTTTTGGGTCACAGATGTCTTTTCAACATTATCGTATCGTAGAACGACCGAGTAACCAATATTGAGATGAGGTATAAGGTATTAGACAAATGTTACAAGTTTATTGAGGAGGTCAACGTTTGCTACACATCCCTAACTACTGTCTACCTCGACGGCTAAACTTGTTAATGTGTAAACTGGTTGTTAAAAAGCTAGGGGAGGTCAAATCAAAACTTGGCACTAGTTCATGAATTTATTGATTTAGCCTATCCTAGTAGATGCAGACTACCTGGTCGAGGTCGACATGATAAAAATTACCAGTGGTTAGAGAATGGGTGACCATGACTTAGAATCAGTTTCAACGGGTCAGATGCATTCACTCCTTATCTTCCTCTCAATTTTCAGTTTCGGTACTCCTTCATACACAACCTTCCTTTCTGTCTCTGAGTCATATTACCAATGTTTATTTCATTGGCACTACATTATTTCGACCTACTTTGCTATTCATCTTGTTATATTCATTTCATCGTGCTTATATGGCATAACAACTTGTGCAAACATATACCTTTGCTGGACTCTGAGCTGATTATGACTGACAATACTGGAAGATGAATCCCTTAAAAGTGTTTGGAATTAACGGTTTTGTAAGTTATAATGTAAGTTAGTTTGAATAATAACTGCACACAATTTTGTTGGATACTTTCAGTTCTACATAATACCTGGTTATTTCTAGTGATAATAATGTAACATACACGGTCAACTATTTAGAAAATTTTCATTTCATTTTCCCTTTGCAGCACACTAAAATTATATTTATCAGATAACGACACAGTGGTATTTAGCTATACAAACATAATTTGACAAAACTGTAAACCTGCAGGAACTGAAGTGTGTGAAGTTACTATCTGACAAAATGTTCCAAGACTCACTGGAGTAAATCTAAACGATAACCAGATAAAAACTTGACAATAATTGTGAGTTTGTGGTTTTGGATAAAAATTTTAATCTAACTGAATAGGGTCTTTATAATAATATCAATGATCAACAAAGATCAGAGCTCAAATTCAGTGATAATGATGTGAATGAATCTATGTGTTTTACCTGGCTACAAATCTTACATGTTAAATTATACACTTCTTTATTTATTTAGTCACTTCTTTTTTTAATATTATTGTGCTATTAAGATACAATAACTCAAATCAATTCAGATTTTAGTAAATTTCACTCTGTGAATATGAAAACCTAGTTTATATCATACGTAACAATTTTAAGTCTCCGTTCATATCTTCACTTGATTACAATATACTGTATTCAACAAAAGACCTAGTAATTTTTTTCTAGTTTAAATCAGCTAATAAAAAGCATAAAACAAAATAAACTTTAAAAAAGATATAGCAACTGTCAGATTATGAAATTTTTAAATAAACGTATAAGGGGGCTACTGACAAATATGTACATATAGCATGTCATTTAACTTCATATTCTAGTGTCATGAGCATTTCAAAGGTGTCAAACGAAATCTATTTGAGTTTTTTTCTAAATAAATGAAACCGTTCTCTAGTGTAATAATTTGTCAGAAATTGTTCTGTTTTTTTAAACTTACACATCAAAACGAAACAATCTTAGGCGATGTTGCTATATTACAAGGTGGTACATAATATTTAACTATTCATGTACAACAAAAAGGAGATATACAAATAAGATCAATGTAGAATCTGGTATAATAGTACGTCACCGCAGATAATGAAGAAATAGCAAAAGAAACTGATTGTGTTAGTGGAAGGAAATTAAATATAATTCAGCGAAGAAAATGTTCTTTTCTACAATATTGAGAGAAGAAATCACCGAGAAGGCAACGAAAGTAATAGTGTGGGAATAGTTATGATGGTAATAAGAAGAGGCTATGAAAACGACAAGAATGACGAAAATAAAAGACAGATTATAACAGAAAATAGTTTCTGCAGATTAAATAGTAGATTCATATGTACTACTACTATTGATTCTCAGCCAAATCATCTGAAAGTCTGTAATCCTAGATTAAGACTGTCAGAAAGACCATAACAGTTCCTCAAATGTATCAAAACAATTTATCGAACACTTCGTGTAGGGTTTTACTTAATTAACTTGAATCAGGAAACCGCTTAGCAAGTACGATACATATATCAGGAATATCGATTTAAAAACGTTTTTAACATGAACAACTAGTGCATCTCGTTTAACTAGTATTGAATAAAACTAAAATCAATATCTGGTAGTTCCATAAACTCCTTTTGATCCTTTAAGAGTATCATTGGTCGAAAATAGGTATTATTCACATATGGTGTAGTTCATTCCTGAATAGCAAAAATACTTCATGAAATACATTAAGATATTACACCCCCTCCACTAATGAAAAAATCATGTTAATTTTTAGTATCCTTCAAGTAGTTTGCCGACCACAAACTTTTAAAAACTACGTACAACTCCTTGGATATAAAAACTACTGAACCACTTCATTTCCTATAATCTCCTTAAAACAGTCCTGAAACAGGATTCTGAAAGTAAGGGCTGTAACATGTTTTAGACGTTTCAAGATTACAGAGCATGTTTAAAAGGCCTTAAGTAGTTTTGAACTTAGTTTGCGAGAAAGTTAAATAGTGATTATTTACTTCAATTGTAGTCACCAAAACATTTGTGTGTGGCTGAGATATTGATAAAGCAACCAGACAGAACCAGGTGGCTTTCTTAGACGGCCACTCCCCGAACTTTTGACTGAGGTCTTATCTATAAGAAAATTTAGTAGCATCAGGAGAAGCAGCCCTATGGTAGTCGGTGGCCAAATATAAGTTCATATGCCATTCGATCCCTCAGGATCCCGGAGCCCACGTTCATAAGTGGTCTGGAACCAGGGTTTTTCAACTCCATGATATGAGTCCCTCATATCTAACAACCAGGTTAAATTGCATTCATCCTCGCACTTCTGTAAACAACATCTTTGTAAGAAGGCAGTGAGTAGGACTTCCTCGACAGTGGCTATAAACGCGTGGCCACACAAGAGCATTTTGGGAAGAACAGAATTTCCCCACCATTGGTCGTATCAGGACATTTGGGGGCCCTACGTTTCATTAGTACCATCAATTAACTAGGAAACATCATCTCTGCACTGTAATTTTGTTGGCAGATCTCTTAGAAGGATATCAACTACTGAGAATCATGATGAAAACAAAGTCATGCCATAAGGTACTCATATGACAAAAGTGAACGGAGATTAAGATAAACAATATTATTGGCTAATTGTGTTTAACGTGATCATTTCCAATGGTAGCTTGCAGACAGTTACTACCTAGTCAATGTAGTTAAGGTTTACATTTCTCATTATTCCGAAGTGATTGATTAGTTAACCACAAAACATCAGGTTAAGAAATGTGTTCAAAATATAGCATAAGTAACCATCTGTTCATTTATCAAAATAGCAGAAAATAACGATTTAGTGTATATAACTTCAAATAACCATTAAGCTTGTACGATACTCTAGGCTTGGCCATTCCGATGTTTCTGCTGAATACAAAATAGGCGGCAATAATATGATGCGAAAAACTACGTTGTTTGAATGATTTCTCTTTGACTACTGAAATGCAAATGATTAGGTTCATTCTTATAAACGGGGATGATTAGTGATAATAGATAAGCAGAGAGAGCTAATGTATTAAGTTTTAAATTGGTAATTTAATTTGAAGTCAATGGTTTCTAGCCATGATCATTTGGTGATAGCGAAAATCATTATCTCAGATCAATCTATTTTGTAGTACAAGATTCATTGAGCTGATCGATTTAGTTTGAAAGCTTTCATTGTTGTTCTGAACGATATTATCAGTACTTACTTCAAATAAGAATGATACTACCAAAACAATCAATCCGTATATGGTGACTATTTACATACGAAGAGAAATGACTGATGTTAGTTTCCTAATCAAAGAGTGAATATTTGAACGACAGTTTTGACAGTTCTATAGACTATCGTTCCATTCCCCTATTCTAACGGTCGAATAATAATTAATCAAATCAAATCGTCTACTTACAAAACACAGCACCCTTAATTTATAATTAATCTTTACAGTATTCGTACTCAATAAGCCGTTCAGTAAAATAAATGAGAATAATTTAATATAATATAACTTCGTTACCTTCAAAAAAGAACTGATTCCTAACTGTAAGTAAATCATATTTAAAGGTTTTCTTAAGTTCAGTTTAAAGTTTGAAATAGTTCATTAGCAGGAAATAAATGAATGATATAATTTTTTCTTAAAACCTATTAATATACAGATATTAATTTAATACTCACCAGCTAAACGTAAAGCGGACATTCGTTGAAATTCTGGTTCTTGTAACCATTTCCACATTCTTCGAAACGTTTCACGACCAGATTTTAATTTACTCCATGGTTTAGGATTTCTTAATAGATCAGATAATGTACCTTGACTTCTGCATAAAATACGTTGGGCGAAAACTGCTTGTGGTATACTATAACGTTTTAATTCGGAACTTATACGATGTGCTAATACTTTTGTATTAATTTCTTCCATTTCTTGAATAGAATGTGAAATTATATCATGTCTTGCATGCATATTAGACAAAGCTTTTTGTAAACTTAATGCTTCATTATTTATATGTGATGGAACTAATGAACCATTCATGAGAGTTGGATGATATGGACGTCCTTGTACATGTTGCATACCTTAGAAAATAAAAATTTAAAAAAAATATTTTGATAGAAAGAATAAAAATACTTGAAAGTACAATTGTATTTAGTCGAATAAAACTGATGTTCACTGGTTTTCATCATAACACTAACAATAAATCAACTTTATCAATTATTGAATACTTTCATATTATAGTGGTGGTGATAATGATTAAAGTGAAAACCGAAATTACTGATTCATGAAACATCACTCCGTCGTTCTACCATCACAATTCCAAAGAAAAACATGAAGTACTAAGGAGACACAGATTTTGGTTATATTTATTTAAATCTAAATTTAACTTGTGTTTGGCTTTCAAATTCAGTTATTAAACTCAATATTTAAATAAACAGTTCATCGACCTAAGTTATTCTAGAAAATGTAACTGCATAATTTAAAAGTGTTGTGAATTTTCAATACTGACTGAAATGTATGTACATCTTTGAATTCAATTGTTTTACTCACTTCTTCACAGAATAATGTGAATAACTTCACTTCGTGACAAAAAGTACCTTTAGTTATATATATATATATATATATATATATATATATATATATATATATATATATATATGAAACTAGAAAAGAAGGCTCAGGACAGAGTGGGTTGGAGAATGCTGGTCAGTGGCCTATGCTCGATTGGGAGTAACAGGCGTAAGTAAGTAATATATATATTATATTTCCTAACTCATTTTAAACGTTTGTTCTTTTACTAATCTAGACAGTTAAATTCTAATCAACCATACACTGCAAATACCTGGGCGATATCCTGATTAACAAGTTTTTGGAAATATAGAATATTGGATACTAGTTCAGCAAGTAAAGTTTCGTGCTTGTCTCAAGACGTAAAAGTCCTGGCTTTGGTTCCATATTTTATAATGGGACGCCTACTATAGGACAACCAAAGTAGGATGAGACAGATATTCAGTGTTTCCTTGCTTGCACAAATTTTTTAGTTTGTCCCAATTTCTGTTTTAAAAAAAACAAATATGCCTGGTAAAAATTTTTCAAAAACCGTACAGTTTCCAGACAGTCAGTCAGTCAGTAACAACGTAGAAAGAACAAACAAAAGAGTTCAAAAACTTTTGATGTAGTGTACCAGATCATATTGCCTTATGTGTTAGCAGAGTACATGAAGAACACAACTGCGATGATTCCATTTTCATTTATGATAAACAATTTTAACTTGATAGTTGAACATGTATTAATCTGATAGTAACAAAACCTGCATTGATATGCTCTCACTTTAAAGAATATTGGATAACTAAGTAGACAATATCCAACATGAGTAACATTCTACTCAGACGGATATTCACTAATTCATCGACTGATAAATGTTACTACTCAAACGGTAAATCTGACCTAATTATCTAAAACTTTATCATTATTCATAGTCTAAACAAAGCAATTTCATTGCTGTAATTTAAACCAGAAGAACACACTCATCAAAAGACTTGTATACAAAATCTGAGTGTTATCATTTCACCAGAGTATATATATAAACGTGTTCTCAATAATAAACGACAAATTCCCCTTCATTTAATATATACAACCTGAGTGATCAATGAAACTAATCTAACTTTTCAAAATCATCTATTCTTCTATAGATTTTACTCATTATTCGGATTACATTTCACCATCTTAAAAGTTTCTAATAAGCAACAAAAGAGTATGGTATTAATTCTATCAAATTGAAGCTGAATTCTGTGATGGATACATAACAACTTTAAAAAATACTGCGAGTCAAAAAGTACTGGACAGCTGTTTCTTCCGGGGGTGACGCTCTTCCACACTGCAAGATCGTGATTTTATGCAAGGCGTAACTTTAACCTTTAGTCAAATTACTGTTCATTCAGAAATCAATATATCCGCAAATCTTACTGCTGAAAATATAACCATTCATGCAATTAATTCAAATATTCACTAATTTATTCAACATGATGCAAGTTGTTTGTAAGAGTTTATATTTTTCAGTTGTAGATATCAAATTTTCCAATTGATCAATCTCTATTGCGACATATTCATTCTGAGTAGACCTCCTCAATATTGTTTTATGGTTACAAGTTTGTAATAAATTTAAACTGTGACTAGCAGTGGGAGATAGGACACATATTTCGTCATATTTGACATCTTTCATCTGGATATACTTGAAGCCTAGTGTTGGCTTTCAAAGAGGAGAAGATATAAACTCTTACGAAAATGTAATAATTGGATTCATATTTCTTGCTCGAACAATATTTCCATAATATAACTATTTATTTTACACCTAAGAATATAAATAAAAATTGCATTAATAAATGATCGATTTCAAAGACTTCAGACCAAACAGATTCAATCAGTCAAGTTTCATTTTCTTCTTATCTTATTCAAATATATGTGCATTTGTGAACTGTAGTATATTACAAGTCTAAACAGTCAGTTATTTAAAAGCATTTACATATTTTCATGATCAAAGGAACTGCTTGTTAGAAGGACTGATAAATTAAAATAGATTATAGCTGCCATCTGCTTTTCTTTCCTTATAAGTATATAAATCTAAATATAAACAATCAATAGTTGAATTCATGAGTCGATTAAAGTTAGACCACCCTGGAAAACCTAGAAGCACTTGACGGCCGTTTCGTCCTAGTGTGGGACTCATCAGCAGTGCGCATCCACGACCCCGCCCCTCTAAACTCGAACTCACGACCTTCGGTCTCGCGCGCGAGCGCCTAACCTCTAGACCACTGAGTCGGTATCCTACAACAAACACTGTTGAACTCCACTGGTTACGGGATCTCACTGGAATTCCATGAAATACTTGTTAAAGCCAGTCGCTAGTGAGCACATGATAATTATCAAAGGGGGGGTGAAAAGCTTCAATCGACTCATGAATTCAATTAGAATTTCCACAAAGCCCCGTTTTTTATATGAACAATTTATTTATTTATTCAAAGTTTCATCAGCTAACCAAGATTTTACTTCCTTTGAGTCAATAAATATTATTCAGAACTATTGTTTAAATAATTGTGTTTACGAAATTATTTACGAAGTTAGGTGTTTTCGTCTAGATTGTAATGAAACAGAGATAAATAGAATGGGACAATTTCAGTTATCAAAGTAGTATAAGTAAGTCATCTTACCAAATAAAACTGATTACTATTAACTATTGAAATAAGAAGAGCATTGTGAAATTATAACACAAAGATTATTCAATACTTCTGGTGATATCTGTTTTACTTCTGATATGATTGAACGTCATCAAGTACAACTCAATAGAGTAACAAGTTTCGTATCATTTATGTAGAAAATATATTATACCGTGGAGCAAATTGTATAAAACGAATGGGCAAGTGTATTTCAGAATATTACTACTACTAGTTAAAGGAAAACTAAAAGCACCAACTCTTAAATACTTTCAGAATTATATCATTATTCACCTATGGGATCGGGTCTAGAATTTTCATACCTCAAAGTATATTTAATTGTTAACTTTTTGTAAGTATAACCAGTCTTTAAGATAGCTCTACCATCACATGGTTTAATCCTAACAATTAAAACCTCGACTTCGAAATGCCTGATTTTACATGCCTATATATATGGGGATTTCTGATTATCCATTTATCCCGAAACTTTCCCAAGGAAATGCTAGTCAAAACTTATTCTGTCTATAGATCCACAGTTGTGTAAAACTCATTAACACCATCTTACTTCATTTGATTGATAATCGATACCCATCATGAGAAGTCGATTATTATAAAATTTATAACATATTTCAAATAATTTACTAAAGGTCATATAATTACATATGTTCTCTGGATGAGCTCTCATGAAGTTCATTTAGCCATTTCATTTTAACTTAAACTATCCTAAACCCAATTAACTCATAGGTAGATTATCTTACTTAAGATTTATACTATTAGGTCTATAACTCAACCTCATTTTTATAAAATCTGTTATCTCTCATTCTACTCAATATTATTATATCTTTACTTTTTGCAGTGTTATTGTTACTACTGTCTGATATAACATTTTAATATTATATCCATATAATCTCTCTTTTTCTTATTACAATTCACCACATATATTCTTAAAATTAAACCGACGAATATATATCAGTGTGACCTAATAATTTTACTCCTCACCAGTTTCGTAATTAAAGTATAGAAGACACAAAATACATTATTTTTTTCTGTTTTTCATATTTGTTTTAGATCCAGTTAACTTCATAAATATTCACTAAAATATTCTTTGATCTTGAATATTCATTAGATATCTTTAAACTAAATTAGTTAAAAACAATAATGAAGCTAGACCAATCTAAACCTATTTCTCAAAAAAGCAGAAGTAGCTTAAATCTTGTGTAATGAACAATGATTAAGTGGGGTAAACCAATTTATTGTTCAATGCAAAATTACACAGTGCTTTCGTTAAGTATGAAAATCATACATTAAATCCATTATTTGCTCATCTGTCGGTTGTTTTTTACCTAATTTACGATTCTTCCAATTCTGTTATTATTCTAATTGCCTTTTGTTTCCTTTCCTGTTTTCTTTAATTTAAAATTCTGGCAACAGGCATTCCACTCTCGACTGCTGCTACATATTACTTATATCTGTCAGCATAAGTAGCATACAATAAAATTATGGGATAATTTTTATTGATTAGACTCTACTATTTTTATGTGAGTTATAATTAGATATGAAAGTCAACGCTTAGCATCTCGAGATACAAACGTGGCAGTCCCCACAGTTCCATTGAATGTCATGTATTTTTAAAGTAAAAGTAAGTTTAATAACACCTTTAAAATCCACTTCTGCTATGTAGAATATGTAAATATTCGTGTTCTTTCCGATGAGTGGTTAATATTTGCAATAGTAACTCTACATGTATGTTGTTACATGAAAATTTTAAACTATTTATTGAGTTAGCTGACAAGCTATTTTTTTAACAGAAATCTTCATATACTCGTAACATCAAAATAAATTCAAAATGAAGTTCAAAAACCTAGTCATAA